ATATAATATTATATTTTATTATTATATTATTTATTTTTATTTTGTTTTATTTGTTTTTGCAGGTCATGCTTTGCTTGTAAAAGACAAAGCAAAATTCAAGAAAAATTTTTGTTTGGTTATGCAGGTTGGGCTCTATAAAAAGAGGCGAGGGGGAGCTCAGTAAAGGGTAGCTGCTCAAGCTTCAATTGAAGCTCTACAAGGAAAGAAAAGAGAAAAGAAAGAAAAATGAGTTGGGAAGGTTTAGAGTGTATACATTTTATAGTGGTTTTAATATTAGTATGTGGAATTATTTTCTATATCTTAGGGTTAAGATGAAACTCTCATCAAGTGATTGGGGTAATTTGTATTTAGTTTTGTAGAACTTTAATTGATTTGGATACTGTTGTATAACTTAGATTTTTGTGCAAATAATGTTTTATGAAATTATGCGTTCACTAGTCATGAATACATGTTATACAATTATTTTCACTGCTTGTGTATTGAAATTGTTAGACGAGTCATACTTAGTAAGATGGGTTGTGCATCAACCTTAGTTTAGTTTAATTTAGTGGTGACGGTCCGTGCTAAGCGAAAATGATTCGTGACTTTCTAATTTTAAAACACAAAATCTTTTTAAGTGATGTGTCGTAACCAGGACACATCATAGTACCCATTTCAATGATTTTCTACAATCTAAATATAATAACCCCTAATTACAAGGTTAGTAGTGGATTCTAAACCCTAAGGTTTTCTTTTTCTCACTTTTCATTTTCAAAATCGAAATATTTGAACTAAAAATAACTTGCCCTAGTCTTTGTGGTTCGACACTCATTCTCAATCACTATACTTCGTAACAGTAGTTGCTACCAGTTTTATTCATTTTATTTTGGTGTGTAAACGACAACACCAGTGATGTCCCAAAATAATTGATGTCCTTAGTAATTTCATTTGTGGTTATTATAGTAACAAAAAAAAATTTACAAATGAGGAGTCCAAAGTAATAAGTGGAGTCCTAATAGCAACACTCGAAGACAAAATATCACATCTTATATATCAATCAATTATTTTTTTCTCTCATAACTCTTTGTTCAACTACAAAAAAATTTAGAGGGACTTACTGTAACATGCCCGAGGGTACCCGAGCGTGTTAAACAGTTCAGACCCTTGATCTCTTTGATCTAGTCTCACGAGTGCAATGTGAAACGTAAATGAGAGTTTGAATCCGATAACTTTTATAGAAAATCCATTTTATTACAAAACATTTGCTAGAAATGGGCTACATCACTAGATCTTAGAGTTGCCACCTAATATTTTGGGAAATTAGGAAACCTGTGACTTATGGCAAGGCCACTGTTCATCGTAACTAAATACATCTCGGTTCGAAACCTTAGGTATGAGAGGGGAAGGTCATTAATTGAGCACCCCCGCTCACCTGATCAAAAGATCGACCTATACTAAGCCATGATATGAGTTTTATTTACTTACTATGTTCATGTTCCGATTAGTTAATAAATCCTAAAAAATTACTATGTGACGCAAACAAATATAGACTATGCCATTCTTTTTGAAACAACTTGATTCCATGTATTTTGAAAGAGTTTTGAAGATGTACAACTCAAAGAAATTGAGTTTACAAGCATGAAAATTAATATCATTTCAAATTAAGTGACACAACCTCTATCCACTAGCATTCATATAGTTATATCAAGTAAGCAAGCAACCACATGGTAAAATGCTAAACATAGTAAAAAAAAAACAAACACAAGCGGGATGCTAAAGCATAAAAACTTATGACGTCCACCGAACAGCTGCAAAACAAAGTTAGTAAAACATGCATAATCTTATATACAAAATTTTAATGCAATTCACTCATGAAATGCAACTAAAGACTTGGCTTCTAATATATGACATGTGAATCATCTCAAGAACATAAGGTAGCATACATAATCATATAAGAATTGATTAAAACCCATAAATGCAAACTTAGCCTAATCAAGATGCATGAAACATGGATGCAAAGTATGGATATGTTAAAAAAACAAAATACGATGTTTATGTACAAATAAAAAAAGCAAGTAAAAGAATGGGATAGAAAGAAGCGGGGTAGGGAATTATTGCAGCACTTGAATAGATAATTACAAACCAAATGAGAGGAAGAAGAAGAGGAAGAAATTATTATAACAAAACAAAAACCTCAAAAAACTCAAATGAAAAGAAAATAGAAGATGTAGGTCTTGAGGATCGTCGAAAACTAGTATGTGCAACGCCGGAAGACTACTTTGTTCAGTCCAGAAAAAGTTAGCCGGCCAGCTAAATATTTAGTTTACCGGCCAACTAGGCCTAGCAAAACCTGTCTTATTGTAGCATTGAGAAAAGAACAAATAAGGAATATATATGTGGCTTAACTAACCACTTCTAGTTAGATTACAACAAACTAATATGAAATTTAAGTAAGAAAACAAATATAAGATAGTGTAAGAGGGGCTAATTTGAGCCCACTAAATTATTTAGGCCCAATAGCCCAAGATTAGTGGGCCCGAATTCATCGCAAGTCCAAGAATCGGTGGGCCCAGATTTATCGCCATTAAACGGATTGAATCGCTCTAAGCCTCGAAAGGGTTCGGATCCACGAACCTAGAGACTTACTCGAGCCCGGACTCGAAAGGGTATTAAGCAAGCCTAGAGATCCGAGGCACTCGGACAAAGTTAGCCGGCCGGCCAAATATTTAGTCTACCGGCCAACTAGGCCTAGCAAAACCTGTCTTGTTGTAGCACTGAGAAAAGAGCAAATAAGGAATATATAGGTGGCTTAACTAACCACTTCTAGTTAGATTACAACAAACTAATATGAAATTTAAGTAAGAAAACAAATATAAGATAGAAAATATAAGAAAATGAAAGAAATTGAAAATTCACCTTCTAAAGAAAGAATGAACTTCTTAATTTCTAAACTTCCTTTTGATCACCCTTAAGGTTATGAATTGTGTTCTCAATCCTCAATTCAAAAGTTTGGAATTTAAGCTAGAATAGTGTCTTTGGACAAGTATGTTTATAGGAAATGATCCCTCTTTAAGTTTCTTGAACTTGGCAAGGATTACTCTCTTTGATCAAAGCTTTAGGACTTGGTTTCAATAAATTTCTTGAGTGGTGTTTTGCGATGGAAGATGAGATATATAAATGCTAAGACAACTTCACTATTTTGGCAAGGCAACTTTCATTTTTTCAAAGTTTTCTTTTCTTTCTCAAACTCTAATCTTCTCCTCCAAACTCATCATTCTCTCTACACTTCTCTCAAATTCATCTCCCAAAATTCAAGACTTGAGCTCTCCTTATATAGGCAATGCAAGTGGAGCATTAAGGAAGATAATGGAGCAAATAGAGCACAAATGGAACTAATAGAAGACAAAAATAGAGCATTTTACCTTCAATTGATCAACCACTAGGCAATGGAGGCTAAGTATATATGCATTCAATGCATGAATGGGTCAAAAAATGGGATAGTGAAATGCCTTACCCAAGTAAACAAAAACCTGGTGGAAACTGTCTCTGGGTGGTCGACTGGGCGAACGAACGCCCAGAGAGAAAAATGTTGTTTTGTTTCGGTTTAGTCTAACTTTACTCTGATTGTCCGATGGGATTTAAACATTTGGTCAAAGTAGGCTTAGAATTGGGAACAAAGCCAAATTTCATCTTTTTTAACTGAAAATTTTGTGAAAAACACATTGTTATTTTCATCATCGGGTAATCAAAAGAAAACGCTCAAGTCTTAGTACTGGTTAAAATGAAGTGTCTACACTTACATATAAGTCCTAATAAATAAACTTATTACTTAATAGGTCTTATAATTATTAATAATATTTCTCATCAAATACTATTAACAAACATCACTGACTATTATGAAAATCAACAGCGCTTCCGACCCCCAGTGAGCTGTCCAGCTCTCATTCGCTGGAAACATAAAAAAAAAAAAAAAAAAAAAAAAAAAAAAAAAAAAAAATTTTTTTTTTCTTCAAACAAGCAATCCTCAATTCAAAAGTTTGGAATTTAAGCTAGAATAGTGTTTTTGGACAAGTATGTTTATAGGAAATTATCCCTCTTTAAGTTTCTTGAATTTGGCAAGGATTACTCTCTTTGATCAAAGCTTTAGGACTTGGTTTCAATAAATTTCTTGAGTGGTGTTTTGCAATGGAAGATGAGATATATAAAGGCTAAGACAACTTCACTATTTTGGCAAGGCAACTTTCATTTTTTCAAAGTTTTCTTTTCTTTCTCAAACTCTAATCTTCTCCTCTCAAACTCATCATTCTCTCTACACTTCTCTCAAATTCATCTCCCAAAATTCAAGACTTGAGCTCTCCTTATATAGGCAATGCAAGTAAAGCAATGGTAGAAGACAAGAATGGAGCATTAAGGAAGATAATGGAGCAAATAGAGCACAAATGGAGCTAATAGAAGACAAAAATAAAGCGATTTACCTTCAATTGATCAGCCACTAGGCAATGGAGGCTTAGTATATATGCATTCAATGCATGAATGGGTCAAAAAATGGGACAGTGAAATGCCTCACCCAAGTAAACGAAAACCTGGTGGAAACTGTCTCTGGGTGGTCGACTGGGCGAACGACCGCCCAGAGAGAAAAATGTTGTTTTGCTTCGATTTAGTCTAACTTTACTCTGATTGTCCGATGGGATTTAAACATTTGGTCAAAGTAGGCTTAGAATTGGGAACAAAGCTCAAATTTCATCTGTTTAACTGAAAATTTTGTGAAAAGCACATTGTTATTTTCATCATCAGATAATTAAAAAAAAGCGCTCAAGTCTTAGTACTAGTTAAAATGAAGTGTCTACGCTTACATATAAATCTTAATGAATGAACTTATTACTTAATAGGTCTTATAATAATTAATGACGTTTTTCATCAAATACTAATAACAAACAACACTGACTATTATGAAAATATAAGTATACTTATGATAAATTCGAAATCAAAGATTTTGAGGTGCAATTGTCACGCACCGATGGCATTAATGTTTTTGCCAACTCCAAGTTGTGCATTAATGTTTTTGCCAACTCCCAGTTCCCCCAAAATAAAAGTAGGAAAAGTGTCTACCAAACTCGTCCTTCCATCTCCAGATCTCTGCACTCACTCAGTCTCTAGAATTGACTCTCCTTGTTGGTGATGTCGAGAGAAAGTAGCACAATTGAGTGCAGCGATGGCGTAAAGCTGGACGCTCGGATCTTCAGACCAAGAAGCAGGCAGGGGGAGGAGGAGGAGGATGAGAGTGAAAAGGGGGGTTGGGGCATTGTGCTAGTCCATCCATACTCTGTGCTGGGAGGTAGTCAAGGTCTGATGAAGGGCATAGCTCGTGGTCTTGCCGACAGAGGCTTCACTGCTGTCACCTTCGACATGAGGGGCGTCGGTCGATCCACCGGCAGGCCTTCTCTCACCGGTTCCTCTGAAGTCCATGACGTCCTCTCTGTCTGCAAATGGGTTTCCCTCAACTTGTCTTCCAATCGTATTCTCTTAATTGGTTCCTCGGCAGGTATATCTAGCTCTCTCTATATATATATTCTCCTTTTTCCTTTTCTATTCTGATGAAAATAGTACATTCTATTGCTTTGGTTCACTTGAGATTTATATCTATGATGATGGGTATGTGCAACTTTTCTGCTAATGGAATTCTTTTGCTTTGAAATTAGCGATCACTGTGATTATGTCTTTTTTGCTTGAATATGATTGATAATCCTCTTATTTATGCTTAATTGAAGCTATGAGGGTCTCAAACTCCTTGTTATGTTAGGATTTCATGTGAAGGACCTAGTTTCTGGGATTTGGTTCATTTGCATGTCTATATGCATGTTGGTGAATGTTTGTATGTGTATATATATGCTCGATACAAATGGGTCTTTCAGGTGCGCTTATCTGCCAATTGAATTTTGTTAGTGGGTTAGGTTTCTTTGCCCCAATTGTTTCTTCTTATTCTTCTTGTGTGTGTGCATGTGACGCTCCAAAAGTCGGGAACATCAGATAATATATTAACCATTAAATATAGGGTTTATCTAAGGTTACAAGAGTAGTGAATAGGAAATGTCATCCTTTGGATAATAACCAAGCAAGATCTCAGGAAGGTCGGAAAAGTCAAAATAGCCTCCCTTCAAAGTCCAACCACCTTAGATAGCAAAGCTACCTTTTTGACAGATCTTGACAAGGTATTAACACAAGACCTACATGAGTTGACGGAGTATAAGGATAGGTTACAAATGTTATATATATATACAAATTACAAATCATGTCTTAAATACAACATGCAATCTATTACTTACAATCTCAAAACACGTTTACAAACTAGTTTCTAATCCTCCTAGGGTAGCCGTACGTCCTCAAATGCTTCAGCTTTGCCTTCGACTAGTCTAATAGTCTTCAATACCTGGCATGAAACGCCATGAGCATTGAATGCCCAGTAAACGTATACACACCCCGTCCCTTTTTCCCAATCCAATATACTATCATATTTACAGCAAGCAAGTAGTGAAGCATGATATTCAAGTCAATAACAACAATTTTAATAATAGAGGAAAGGAACATGTCATAAAGGTTATAATGTTAGTGGTTAGTATTCTAGAAATCCCCCAAAGAGATTTCATCCTTCCAACCACAAGAATTGGACACCGGACTATTCGAAACTTCCCCTTTTGCTGCTTTGTTACAGAACTAACCTCAGATGCCTACCAACGGTTATATATCGCGTAGCGCCAACCGCAGGGCCTCAAAAGGGACAGCGAAAAGAAAAAATGTTTTATCTCCTGAATCCAACCTTATCCTTCCAAAAAAGTTTTATCCTCCTGAATGCTCCATCCGGACCCAACCTTATCTCACCAATCAAACCATCACAAAGAGTCCGAATACGTCCGTTTCATTCTAGGGTTTACGCGATAACCACTTGCGCAAGACTTAACTTTCAATTAAGGAGCATATCCATCAAACCATACATAACACATTATCATGTCTTCATTATTCAAGTGATCGAAAACCTAATACTATCCCAATTAAGTTTTCCGTTTGGATCAATGTTTTAAGTCAAGTTAGGACAACCTCAACAAGATAGTAATATCCACATAAGCATGAGCATCATTAAAATGAAGAAGATAAGGAACATAACCATAACACATGAAATACATACCGAGACATGATCATAAACTAATAAGCGTATTCATGTACACAAGAGCATAAAACACTTATGCAAAACTAAATTTTCAGATTCAATACCATTTAAAGATTAAAATCAAAAGGGCTATTTCAGATATTTCCTGAACCTAGCCTTCCTATGGTTCGTAGAGAATTTAATCTAGTTTTCAGAACATGTTTCGAAAATGTAATAGTTTTTCTAGATTTTTAGTTATTTAAGAAACACTCCAGCGCTGTCCAGATTTGTCGATCGTTACAACGAAAATTGAATTTTCTTCAAACCGCTCACTCTTTTTCAATGCAACCAATTTGCCTTGAAAGCTAACTCCTTAAGAAAGAATTGGACATAAAATTGAGGTCCAAAAGATATTTCTACATTTTTCTGCTATTTTTGAAAGCTGGCTGTAAAACAGATTTTTCTGGCACAGTTCTTGCAACAAGAAAGTTGGTGAGAAAAGAGGTCAACTAGGGGAAATTTCCACTTATCTTGTGATGAAAACTTTCTAAATAATATGTATTAAATCCAAAAATTTAAGGTGAAGGTGTGCCTTTGGAAATTTTGAGAGTTTGATATGAAAAAATGTAGTCTTATACAAATTAAGAGAAATACAAAAGGTAGAATCAAGGCTTAACTCCTTTCAAGAATACCATTAGAACACATCTGATAATACCATTTAAAACTTCTAATAACATGTATTTTGAAAAAGAAAAATGAAAGAGAGTTGTGTTGTGGCTTACTTAATTGCCTAATGAAGTGTTTGCACAATTGTCTCTTCTTTTTCTCTCCTCTACTACCAAAGTTCACTCTCTTTCTCTTCTTTCTTTCTCTCAACTGAATGTGTAGGTGTGTGAGTGTGTGAGTGTATGAGATGTGTAACATGTGGAGGGTGGTGGTGTTTTTATAATAAAATTGGTGTAAAAGGTCAAAAATGCCCATTGGTTGGAATGGAATGGAATTGAGATGTATTTAGTTGGAATATAATGGAATGAAGGATCATTAGGGAACCTAATCATGTATTAAGGCATGATCTAGTTAGGGTTAGGCTTAAGTAGAACCAAGAATGTTACAAGTACAAGACAACTTTCCTTGATTTGGGGGTACCAATGATACTTTTTCCATGATTTAAGGAATTTGTCTCCAAAGTACCTATGATTGTAGCCTAGAGAGGGTGATGGCTGGCCATGTGCTAGATTTGGGGAGATTTTTGTTGATTTTATATATAGATATGAAGATATTTGTGTATAAAATTATTTATTTAAGAAAGGTACAAGTATATATATGTATATATGCGTGTAATGGTACTAGTTTGGGATCAAAATGTGATTTAAGAAAAATATGAGGGCATTGGGTTTAATTTATGAATTGGAACATTTATTTTAGTGTAGAATTAAATTAAATTGGGGTTAGAGAGTCTAATTCGGTTTGGATTTCTTATTTTGAGCAAAAACGCGATCAACCGACGAACGTGATAAAGACTGGAAAAACCTAGGTTTCCAAGTGGTAATTTCATATTTAGGGAGTCAATTAGAGTATTATAAATTATTTCTAAGTTTCCGAAATCGATTAGGGTTTGCGGTTTTTTGTTGGCGTATGTATTTTGATCCTAGGGTTGCAATTAATTAAGAAACTGAGGGATTTCAAGGAAATAATTTAAAAGTAAGGGACTTTTAAGAAATTAAAATTTTTAGGGGCCTCACAGTGCCCGTCTGTTTGTTTGTTATTAAATGAGATCCTTTGAACTGCTCCCCATTGTGATAGGCATTCAGATGTGATGAAATTAAATTAGGAATGAAATTTCATTAGAGATAGAAAATCTCTAAACTGAGATATAAAAGCTCTAAGCTCGACAATACAATGTCAAAATATCATCAAAATTATCTTCTAAAGACTCAGACCACCTATTTATAGGCTAATGCTAACTAAGCAACCTAAAAACAAAACTACCACTCTACATCAGACTCCCCTCTAAAGAAAACAACTTGTCTTACAAGTTGGGATATTAACAAAAATGAATCAAAACGACATCAACAAAATGACACCAAACAATGACTGATGGAAGCATATGGATTTGTAATGGTGAATAAGACAATGGGGTTGCAAGTCCTTATTCCAAAATGCACCCTTCAAATGCCCCACCTCGAAAATGAGTTTTCATTTATGCACAGCCACGGAAACCATGGTTTGGTGTGAAGAAACCACCCATTTAGCATGCCTCCCATGAAGTAAGTTGTCATCAAAATAGCTCATTTCTTGAATGTAGCCTTCACCCATGAAGTCTTCAAGATGGACCTTGATTTCATTGCCTTCTGTTGGTAACATCCAACAGGAAACTAAACAAAGCTGGTCCAAATACGAAATTGACATAAAGTTGATTGTCTTGCTTCAGAGGTAACTCAAAAGACACTTCTTGAATGAAAACCTCAACACATGATCGAATATCTTGTTCTGGGGGTAACTCAGGAGACACCTCTTGTGAACAATCATCAACATACGGACCTGTTTGTCCCACAACAGCTGATAAACCTTCAAAATTAGCTTTACTCATCTTTGGAAACACATCCAAAGTAAATCCAAGTTCATGTCTTTCCTCTTCAACTTCCATTGAAGCTAGAAAAATAGTAGAAAGTTTGTGTTACCACTGTTTCCTCTTTGGGAAGCTGGGGAAACCGTCTATCCTCTTTGGGCATGAGAAAAGACTTGATCAAAACAATGCTTTCATCTTCCTCTTCAATCTCCTCACTAGTGTCAAGCATTGGAATACCATCATCCCAATTTTGCTCCATCACTTCCTTTACAGCTTCACATCCAATGTCTACAAAAATATCGGTTGCGTTTGGTTTGGTTTTCAGAATCAATTTTAAGAGATAATTTTCTGGAAATAGTTTTAAAAATTTGAAAGTTTGTTTGGTTGTATGTTTTGAAAATAGTTTTTACAAATTTGGAGTTTCGTAATTTGGGATAATTTGTAGTTTTTTTTGTAGTTGAATAGATGGGTGTGAGAGAAAAAATGATTGATTGATGTGTAAAATGTGAGAAAATGTGAGGGGAGAGAGAAAAAGTGATTGATTGATTTGTAGGATGTGAAAGAAAGAGAGAGGAGATAGAAAAAGTGATTGAAAACAGTTTGAGAAAATTGTAAACCAAATAATTTTTGGATTTTGAGCTCTCAAAAATTGATTTGAAAATCCAAACAAAGCAAGCCCATCATCTTCATCACAATCCAAGGATTTATGGTCAAGTTTGCCAGACTTGAAGCATTCAAAGTCCCCACTTTGGGACTTATTTTCAGCTCCCAAAACTCTGAAAACGGACTGATTGTAAACTGAAACAGAGCCCTTTTCTGTTCTGTGGTGCTG